TGTAATACTTGTCGTCTCTCTCCCCAAACTACTCTCATCACTCTTCTTTACTTACTCTCTCTCTATTCATATCTCTCACCTCTCTCTCTCTCTCTCTCTCTCTCTCTTTCCATTGCCACGGGCAGCAGTAGAGTCACTACCATCTGTTTTCTCTCTCCCTCATCTTACTCTCTCTTTCTCTCCCCAAATCACTCGTTCCTCTCTCCCTCCCCAAATCACTTGTTCCTCTCTCTTCCTCTCCCTCACTCATTCCTCTGTCTCTCTCTCTCCCTCACGCATCTTTCCTTCTCTCCCACACATTTATCTCTCTTCCATAAATCTCTCACTTTCTCTCTCCAAATCTTATCCCCTCTCTCTCACAAATTTCTTTCTTGCCACTCTCTTTCACCGTTCACTCTCTCTCATGCTTTATTTTTCTCTCCCAACCTCTCTCTCCCTCATCACCCTCCTATTTTCTCTCTCCAAAACGTACTCTCTCTCTGACCGTCATTCTCTCTCTTATCTTTCACTCTCTCTCCAAATCACTCACCCTCTCTCTCCCTTCACCACAAATCTCTCTCCCTCATCTTTCGTTTTCTCTCGGACTTGTGCTTTGAAGCCGCAGGCCACGTTTCCCCCCTCTCTTTCCTTACCGTAAATCCCCATCTTCCTCTCTCTCTCTCGTTATGCTTTCCCTCCCTGATTTTTCTACCTCTCTCTCTCTATCTCTCGCTTTCTCACCTTCTCTCCCATGAATCATTCTATCTCTCTCTCTCCATGCACACATTTATACTTACATGTTGTGAGCATCTCAATCTCTCATTATACTCATACATACATGTGTTCATGCATGTGTTTGAATCATTGATTTGCTAATTAACAATATATATTTACGTGTTGTAGGCATCTCATACATGTGTTTGAACCATTGATTCGCTAATTAACAGGATGGATATGTGTAGTTTCATGCTAGATGAATCTTTTGTTGAAATTAGCATTTTCTCTTGGTTTAAATGTTTATTATAAATTATAAAAGATAACCCTCAATTTAGCAAGTGCAACATTCAAGGTCAAATTTTTAACTTCTCCCTCATAATTTCTCTTCGGCCTTCTTTTAAGCCTCTTCTCTACTATAAAGAAACAAAAACACACACACACACTCTCTCTCTCTAACCTTTTATCTTCAACACATTATATAATACACACTCTCATATTTCATCACATACTCCCTCCATACACATTTTCTCACTCTCTTTATCTTCTCACCCTTCTTATCTTCCCCCTCATTCTCTCTTCATCCTCTTTCCCTCTCTTTTCACGTATTTTGTTTCATTTCTTTCACTCTCTTTTCACGTATTTATTTCTTTCTCTCTTCTCATATAGATTGACTTTTCTTATACTCTACCTACCTTTCTAGCTTGGACTACCCTTGTGAGGCTCTTCAGGGTCATATACTCTTGGGCTTGTTCTCTCGGACTCATGACTCCTAGAATCCTTAGGAGTGCTCTAGACTCCAGTCAGATTCTAAGGACCTTTTTGACGTTCTCGATTACCTCCTTAGAGAGGGATGTCAGCAAGATGTCTAACTTTTGAGAGGCATTATCTTACTTATATTCTCATTCTTTCCTCATAGCATCTCTTACTCATCGTTATTCATCTTCTTCTCAGCTACTCATTAGGAGGCTCTTCAAGAAACGATTCGCGAGGGGTTCAACCCTCAAAGACTCCATTCTCTTGAATGCTCCGGGGTATTTTGAGTCCAAGTCGAATACCTTTTATCTGTCATCTGGTAATACCTTTTAGGAGAGGTGACGTTGGAAGGCTGTCTGTTTCCTTAGGTCAAATTCCACCTTTGTTTTCTACCATCTTTTCTCTTTTATCTCTCTCTGAATCTCTTAAACCCATAAACACAACCCCCCGCCTCTCAAACTTTTCTAATTTAATTGGAGACAAGCCAATGGATACCTCTCAAAAGCTATAGATAAGTGTGATTATAGTGCTGTGTAGCGAAGCGAGAGAGCCGGATTTAAACCTACTGCAAGGACAGTTAAAGGGCTTTCTAAGTGATCTAAGAGGGCAAATCTCTCTTGTGCTAGTTCCTATCTGCACCACATGCACATGCACATACGGGCGCGTGGGCGTCGTGATTGTTCGAGAGAAGATTCCTCCAACCAGGTCACCCATATTGGGCCGACCCAGGACGACGAAAAATCAGACCCAACCGATACATGCTCATGGGACCACATATATCGCTATGTATCATTTTGAATAGGTTAGTAGTCATTTCAACCCTTTTATGGGATTTTTTAATCATTTTGCTTTGTATGTAAGTGTCGCGACCCCACACCCCTATTGTCCATGTGGCAGGCCCGATTTGGCCTCTGTGGGGCCAGCGAGTACGGTAGGGGGTGGGGTTGTGACAGTAAACCTCGCAGTCCTTTTGAAAATTCACATCCATAGTTTTAAGACAACTCTCTCTTATAAGCTTTTCTATCATTGATTTGCCTATATGTCCTAATATTAAATACTAAAGTAATAAATCATTCACATGGTTCCATACATAAGCAATTTTGTTTTTCATTTCAACTTGATAAAGCCTGTTGCCCATTTTGGCTACAAACATGGGATTACCATCGAGACTTCCCTCATACACAAACACTTATAATTATGTCTCTGACCAACATAATTATGAAAATGGAACTGGTCTGTCATAATGTATGCCGGACTAGGAGTTGTAATGGGCCTGGTGGGCCGACCCAACCTAGTTGGCATGGCCTTAATAAATTAGCGCTTGGGCTACGCCAAGACAAGCCTGCCCTGGTTCAGCCTAACCCAACCCTTAGTTTTTCATTTTTTTTGTATTGTTTTTGTTTAATATTATCTGGTCCACCCTTGCCCTAATAGGGCCAGGGCCGGGCTAGTCCAGCCTGCTAGGGCCAAGATTAGCCTAGCTCAAGCCTAACCCATTGTCAGCCTGCCAAACCGGCTAGTTCTTATTTAAACCAGTCCAACACATATTGTGTTGGACCGACATTATTATAAATAATGAAGTCGTTCTTGACCGATTTTAATAGTGGTTAGGAGTCAGTCTAGCACACACTGTGCTGGACCAACTTCATTAATATGTGTGCGGGCATTGTACCATACTGGTTTCTATAGGGATAAAACATAAAAGGAAAATACGAATTTAGGGAGGGGTATTGTCATAAAAAGAAAAGTTATTTGTTTTACTTAGGAATTGGGATAAAGAAAAAAAGGTTTTACATTAGTGATATGATATAAAAAATAGTAGGGGCCATGCGTGGGTTTTCGGGGCGGTTTTTCATTTTATTTTATTATATGTTTTAGCGGCTGGTAATCACTGCCAAAGGAGGATTCTCGTGCATTCTAGCGAAAATGACCAAATGGGTCCCCACTTCTGGCATTTAATCTGGTTTCCAAAACCCTCATATGGTTTTGTCTCCCGGTTTTGAGAGCATCGCCCCACAATAAATACTGGAGAACCGGCTGTAACAAGAGAGTGACTGTAATGGCGTGCAGGAGCTTAATTTCCAAGTTACCCCACCTCCGTTCGATGGAAGGATCTTCTAGAGTTCCCCGCTACTTCAGCGATGGAAAGGGAAGGCTTCTCAGTGAGGAAGAAAGAGCAGCTGAAAAGGTTTATATCCAGGTATTTTCTTCCATTTTCTTGTTCATTTTTTCTCAACAGTTATATCTGATGTTTTTTATGTAACATTTACTAAGATTTTTTCTTTTGGAAATAGTTAAATAAAGATTCATTATGGTTTACATTTGACTCAATTCCTGGATTTTTTTTGGTTGTATTTTTTTTATTGAAGATAATGGAGTGGGAAAATCATTATGTTCCTTGTTTTTTTGGAGCCTTGATCGCTGTTGTTTTGATTGAATTTTCTAGATGGGAATCATTTTTTTTGCAATATTTGCTGAGACTTTTGGCTATATTTGACCCCATTTTTTTTTATTGATGTATTTGGCATGGATTGAAGAAAATGGAGAGCGAAAGATTAGAGAAGATGAAGAAGAAGATGGAGCAGGAAAAGGAGAAGGAGAAAGATGACAAGGTTTGGCCATGTATTATTTTTCATTTCTTATTGTTTATGGATTTCTTGTGTTCATTCATTTTTTTTGTCGCAATATTTTCTTTAAATGTCTTGGCGACATCATCTATCTGATCAATCCAGTTGTCTTGCTGATTAGTTATCCTATCAATTTTTTGCTAGTTGTTATTTATTTATTTTTGTTATTCAAACATGATTTTATTATTCTGTCCCTTTTTTTCCTGCTTACTTTTCACTGGCCAAACAATATCTGATTAATATGTTATTGTGGATGTTTGTTTATTATCCAAGAAATTTCATGATGGAAAAATTATCACCAAATACCTCTCTGTAAATCTCTCTTTGAAACTGTTTCTTATTCTTTTATCATTTTTATAATTAGCTCAAGGAACATCTGAGGGTTAGTTTGTTTAGGAGATTTCTGCTATGGAGAATTTAGCCAGCCCATGTTGTTCGTATTCAGGTCTATGTTTTTGATGGGGGTGCACATAGCAATCCCTTTATATACTCTATTGGAAAATTTTTACTACGATAAATGATGAAAAGGAGGAAAGATGGTGGTTAGCTTGAGTGCGTTAAATCAATTGTTTACTTTTATCAGGAATTTTATGGTTAAGTTTTATTTTATGAGAAACAGTGATGGTTTACTAGACCGTGATGGCAATGCAGTTTTGGGTGAGATAACATTATTGTGAAGCAGAAGGACTCATGAGGAGGTTGGGTGTCTCAAATCTGTGGCTTAAGAGCTAGCATGTTGCTTTAAATGCTATAAAGGATTTATTTAGTCTATGTTGTGGTTCAAGTTCTTTGGAGATCTGTTCCATGTTTGAAACTAATAATACACTAAAGTTGATAATGGGAAAAGGTAGGTACAATGTTAAAAAGTTTGACCACCTAGGCTGTCTAGGCAGCCCATCAAACTGAAGGGGCCTGGTTTGCTGCCTTGGGGGGCCATGTGCCTAAGCGATTGCCTAGGCTGCCCCAAGGCGGGCCTAGGTGCCCGCCTAGTGCCATCACCTTTAAGAAGAAGAAAGAAATTAAAAACATAAGACCTCTTTAGAAAGGAAATTTGTAGTCGTAAAAAAAAGTACATAAGCCCCTTTAAAGAAACAAAAAAAAAAAAAGAGAGGAAGAAGGAGGAGAAATAATCTAGAGAATAAAAACCTAACTGCCATTAATGTTGTAGAAAGCCTCTCCTCTCTCTGTCCTCTTTTTTCTCCCTTGCACAAACAAGAGCGGTGTGGTTGCAAAAATAAACGAGGGAGAGAAACAATAAGAAAAACCATAACTGCCTTTAACATTGCAAAGCCCCTCTCCCCACTTTTTTTTTTATGCCCTTAAATATTCCAATGTAACCCTATTCTTGTCGGCAAAATTTCTCATAGTGCCCTTCATCTCTTCAGACTATTCTAATAGTCAACCAAACACTTCACACTATTGATTGTGCTTAGCAATATTGTGTTGAGATGGATGGTGTTGGTGAGCTTCTCTCCTTAATGATGGTCATCTTGAAAGGCTTCGTATGCTTGATTCTATTGAAAGCCAAGAAGAGAAGCTCAGGTATCATATGTGATGGAAGCAACACATTTAAGAGAAGATGTTGGTGACATGATGGGAGTTTGTGGTGGAAACCAATGGACTAATTTCGTTTTGCCCCCTCTCAACAATGGATTTAGCAATGTGTTGAGGGGTAATCATTGGGCTAAGTTGGTATAGAATGGCCAGCGAACATTGGAGAATAACAAGGTGTTGTGATGTAATGGAGGACCAAAGCTACAATCAAGGGCTTAGGAACCATGACCTATTCGGGTAGCGGAATGTTGGAAAGTTTGCTGAGGAGTTTTTTCTTGGGAGCATGAATGCCATTTGTGCAAAAAAACTGACTGTTAGGGTCAAGAGGAGTTTGTGCATATTGAGAGCGGGTTTAGTGGTTATCTTTTTTGGGTTACGGGTGACATTACAGGGCAGTTGGGAGAATATTTGCTTACCTAGTTTTCGGCTTCTTAATGGAAGGGGATTCTTCTTGCTTTGGCTTGTGGAATCATGCTTATCAAATACTCAATGTCAAGCATGCTTTCACATGCCGTGTCTGTTTTGAATATCAGTAGGGGTGGTTGAGAAGCTGAATATGCGTATTAGATATCATCTTTACTAGGAAAGCTTTTGTTCTTACACTTTTCATGGGCCAGTAATTGGGAGAGGTTTGTATTTCGTCTTCTTTTCTTTTTTTTTTTTTTTTTTCTTTTTCTTCTTTTTTTTTTTTAAATATTTCACCTTGTAGAAAGTGATAGAGGTATACACAAAGGTACATAAATACAGAGAAGTATACCACAAAAAGAAAAAAAAAAAAGCTGGAAGCAATGGTTAGAAAAGAAGCAGATATTAACAAATGACTGAAGCAATAGAGATTTTTGAAGTCAACTGTTGTTTAAGAATATGTTTTAAGGATTGATCTGTATGCTTAAGAATGAACTGAGCACGTGTATTAAGTTTGAGGGAGATGTCTCTTTTGATAGGTATACAGTGGAAATAAAGCAAAGAAGATGATCTATGAGGCTGTAATGGAAGATAAAAATTGGGACAGTGATGGCTGAGATTTGTGAACCACGAAGAAAAGTTTCGGGGAAAGGTAATATAAAGGTGTTATCGAATGGACAAGCTTGGCTGGTTCACAAAGGTAAAGAATAGACTGAGCAGGTCCTATGGAGCATGACATGAGATCAGTGAGCTCAGAAGAACTTCATCAAACACTCCAGGTACAAAGTGGGGAAAGGTAGGAAGATTAGATATGGCATTACTTGTGGATAAATAATACAACACTTGAAGCGCAACCCTAAAATCTATTCATCTTGGCGTCTGACCTTGATGAAGAGGCCATAATTTGCTAAATCCAAGAGGAAATGGGAGAAAATACATCTGGAATATGAGCTTTAGAAGACATTTTGTGGATCATGAACTACCTGAAGTTTCAACCCTCTGCAACACGAAGGTGTTTTCACGTTGAAATCGTTCTGCAATTTGATAAGTGCGTCAAATATCAATGAAGCTGAAGCCATCTCTCGGAGAGCACGGTGTGTACTAGCACCATTGAAGATGCAACCATTTACTTAAGTATCTCTTTGGGACAGGGCCCTAATGATCGATCATTTTATGAACATAGGGATTCCCATATTGAATAGATATATAATGTGCAAGCATGATGAAGAATCAGTGTTATGCTTTTTCATTAACTGCAAGGTGGCTCATAAAGTGTGGGCTTCTTATTTTCAATCTGTCAAATTTGAGTGGGTTATGTGACAAATTGTGGAAGGTTTGTTTTAGCAATGGTACATCTCTGCTTTGCTATGGATACTGAATATAGTTGCCACATTATGGTACTTATGGCTTGGAAGGAATGGATCAATGTACCTGAGATGAGGATGTTGAGATGGAGGAGTGGCAAGACAAGAAATGATAGAATTGGGAATGAATATTATTTGAGTGAACTTAGGTATGGCTTCAATACGCGATGAGGGAAAGTAGACTTATGTGATATAGCACCGGTTAGGAGGTACGATTTGGTTCAAATAGAATGCTCTAAAAGGGCAAGGGAAAAGTTCAAAAGGACATGGATGGAACTAGTAACCGAGAGCATTGAAGTTGCAACTTCATGGGCTTTATATAGAAAGGAGTTTGGGGATGTAGGGAAATAGATTTTAGCAACCTGTGGAAATCCACTATTGGGGGTGCAAAGAACAAATGCAAGAGGTCTGCATTATGGAGTTAACCACAGCGGGCTGTGCAAATTTAAATTTTGATGGTATTTCCATGAAAGCTTTGGGAAAGGCTGGAGTTTGAGGAGTGCGAAACCACATAGAAGAGATTATTCTATACTTCTTAGAACCTCTGGGAATTGTGCCATGCAGATGTGGTGGAAAACATGCTTTATTTGGTGGGCATGTGAAATCTGTATCCACTTTGGACCTCCATATAATGAGATTTAGAGAATCTAATCACATGGGCCAACAAGAAAGCAGATTAGCAATGGAGAATGTAATTACATGGGCCAACTAGAAAGCAGTTTAAGAAATGGTAGCAAGCTTGACCAACTATAAATGTGCTCTCTGGGGAGAGGAAACTTCCTATATTTGAGCAATACACCTTTGCCCCTGTGCAAAGAAATGAAGGAAGGTAATTTTTCATCTCCCTCAGCAATCATTGATGAGGCAATGGATGGATTCAAAACCTTCTTAATAGGCTACTTCAATGGTCCATGTCCACCATGGAACTTCACAATCAAGAGACTGCATACAATCTGGAATTACAGAAAAGTTTTAAGGCTGATCTAAGGGGAAACATTCACTTAATCATAAGAGTTGATAACCGGGAGGACCTCAAAAATGGTCTAGGTCGAGGACCATGTTATTTGTCTAGCAAGCTAGAACGATGGATAGGAGGTGCTCTTTCTGAATTAAAACTGAAGCAATCCCTCACTTTGGATCAGATTACCTAACTCCAAGTCTACTTTTGGCATCCTAGGATCATTGGACCCATTGCAGTGGTGATCGATTGGGCATACCATCAATTTGGACCAACCAACAAGAGAGCACAAAGCAAGCCTCTATGCTCGAGTGCTTGTAGAAGTAGATCGAAGCTTGAGCTTGCCCATTGCTATTGAAATCAATGCCGGAAAGCCATGGGATTTTCCCTGAAGAAAATCGTCTTCGAAGATGTGCCAAAGCCAAAGTTTTGTAATACCTGCCTACCTTGGACACATTGAATTGCAGTGTCGAACAAAAACCAGGACTGAAGAAAAAAGAACACAGAAGGGGTGAAGTCAAACTTTGAAAAGTCATGAAAAGAAAACATTCATGAAACAATGGAAAAATTGTCCAATCAAAGAATTGAGTTGAAACAAATTCATGTCACTTCAAGACATAGAAATAGATCAATAACTAGAAAAGAGCAAAATTATTCATGGTGGCGAAGCAACCAACAAGCTTTGTGACTCCATTGAATTGGCGAGGAAAAGAA